AGTTTTTTTTTTTTTTTTTTTACTTACTGTGTTGAGTTTAGCTATGTTTTTATGGAACAAAGGGAGAAATTTGACACAATTGGACCTTTCTTTTTCTTGCAGGGGCTGATTGGAAAAGTGGATAAAGATAGTTACTTGAGCAGAAAAAGAGAAGCTTTAGGATGTGAACAGTTAAAGCTTGTAGCTTGGACTTGTTATTCTGTGATTTCCAACTTTCTGTTGTTGATACACAAAGTGTTATGCCCAGCAGTGAGGGTTCTCCCTTTGTTTTGGCTCAAAACATGGACTTTGGAATGTCTAGCTCCGATTTGGAAAGGAAATCACTGATTCATTTAATTGATATAGTAGATTCTGCTTGTTGCTCTGTGTAATTCTTTTTAATATAAAGTCTCTAGATTTGGGGAGTTAGGCTTCATACAATTTTAGTGTTCTATAGTTGGTTAAGTGTTTGTAGATTGTTATCTATTGCATAAAAACATGGTTCCACAGGGGCCTCCAAATCCACTTGGAGGAGGTGCCCAGCCTGTCCCCTCTTTGTTATTGCGATCAAATTCTAGTTTTTTGGGGGGTCAAGGGGGTGGAATGCCTACCCCGGGTAGTTTCCCTTCTATTGTGTCACCTCGGACTCAGTTTGGTAACATGAACATGCTAGGAAATTCTCCAAATGTTTCATCTCTGCTCCATCAGTCCTTAGGAAATGGTGGTCATAATCCAGGGCTTCCTGGAAATGGAATCTCTCAACGAGTTGATAATGTGGCCGAGTCTGATCCACTGTCCAGTGCTAGCAATGGTATGGGATTTAGTACTCCTTCAACATCATTTGGCTCATCGGCCATGACAGCAAATCCAAATTCAGGTCAAGTTCAGGGACAGCGGTTTCCTAGCCCTTCTGGTAACCAGATGTTAACTGACCGATCACCGTCCCAACAACTTGATTCCCAGAATTACCAACATAATCAACAATTTCAGCAATTCTCTGCCCCTAGCAATTCCCAAACACAGCAACAGCAACAGCAATTTCAATCCATGCCAGGTGGATTAGGAGGCTTGGGATCTGTCAAACAGGAGCCCCAGGTGACCAGTGATCAAACACCACAGCAGTTGCAAGCCCTGCGAAACCTGGCAACTGTAAAGCAGGAGCCCCAACAGATACAAAGTATGAGAGGCCTTGCCACTGTGAAGATGGAGCCACAACATTCCTCACCCTCTTTGTTTCTACATCAGCAACAGCAGCGACAACAGCAGCAGCAGCAGCAACAACAGCAGCAGGTACTTCACATGTCCAAGCAGTCCCCTCAATCTGCAGCAGCGGCTCAGCTTTTCCACCAGCAGAGGATTATGCAGCTCCAGCAGCAGCAGCAGCAGCAGCAACAACAACTCTTGAAGACTATTCCTCAGCAAAGAAATCCACTTCAACCGCAATTTCAACCACAGAATCATGCTTTAAGGTCTCCTATAAAACCAGCTTATGAGCCTGGGATGTGTGCCCGTCGGCTGACTCATTATTTGTATCAGCAGCAACACAGACCTGAAGTAAGAAAACTGTGCCAACTATAATTTCTGGGTGGACCATAAACTCTGCACCCTACCATGCAGCTTATCTGATCTCAATTGATCCTTTATTTGACTACAGCCCTATGATGTTACATTTGCACTACCTTTTTTATAGGACAATAACATAGAGTTCTGGAGAAAATTTGTCGCCGAGTATTTTGCTCCACATGCCAAGAAAAAGTGGTGCGTTTCTATGTATGGAAGTGGTCGGCAGACCACTGGAGTTTTTCCTCAGGTTGGTTGTGTTATTGATTTTTCTTAATCAAATGTGAGAAATCTTCTTATATAGTTAAAAAATACGGTTATAGTAAGTCACATACCGCATCCACATCTATGGCTTGATAAAGCTTTTCTGAAAATTGATTCTTTTTTCAGCTTTGATAACTAATTTGGATTTGTTGCTTATATGTTATGCAAATTTATTGCCGACCAACTTTTTCCTTGTATTAGAAAATTAATCACTATTATATAATTTGCAGGATGTATGGCACTGTGAAATATGCAACCGCAAGCCAGGCCGTGGGTTTGGTATGTTTCTTTGTAACTTACAAAGCCATTGTTGTTGACTCGTAATTTCTGCACCCATTTGGTTCATTTTCCTCCATGTAATCTTTATGGGCATCTGATGTTTCTGAACTTATTTGTTCAGAAGCGACTGCTGAAGTCTTGCCCAGGCTTTTCAAGATAAAATATGAAAGTGGGACTTTGGAAGAGCTACTCTATATTGATATGCCGCGTGAATATCAGAATTCATCTGGACAGATTGTCCTAGACTATGCAAAAGCAATTCAGGAGAGTGTTTTTGAGCAACTTCGTGTTGTCCGTGATGGTCAGCTTCGAATAGTGTTCTCACAACCTGATCTGAAGGTTAATTGAAGAGCTCATAGCGTTTTATTTTAATAACTATACTTATTAATCAGTTGTTTAAGACACGGCACAGTGCAGATGAATGTCTATTATTTTCTTTTAACTGTTTTCCTTTTTGTCAACATGGCAGATCGTCTCTTGGGAATTTTGTGCTCGACGTCACGAGGAGCTAATCCCTAGAAGATTGTTGATACCTCAGGTTGCTCAATGTTGCTTTGAACTGCTAATTTACCTTGATCTATGTGAATCATGCTTCAGCTCTAACCTGACTTGTATGCTTCTGTTTTCTAATCTGGTTTGGCAAAAACTTTTGCTTTCTCTTACAATTTATGCTAGAACAGAAACATTTTGTCCAGATAAGTACGTACGGGCTAGTCAAACAAGGTCTTCAATGTCCCTTTTAGATGTACTTGATGAGATTGAGGTCTTGTGAGATATAATTTCTCAAATAAGGTTTTGCTGTTGTAAAGTTATATGTGTTTCAAACATGATCCGTTGAGCATGCCTTTTTCCCTCTAATTTTCCTTTTCATCGTGACTTGGTATAAGTTTATATACATCTTAGAGATTTGACTTGCTTTCTCTTTTCCATTTTTTATAAAATGCCATCTTGCTAGAAAAAAGAACTATGGTTGCTGACCATCTTATTCTCATCCCTGATCCATGGTGGTGAATTGGTCGGAGCAGTTAGTAGATTGCACTGTAAATCACTTTCTCCGACTTGAATTCAAATTACCATCCATAGGTTGGAGACCATCGGTATAAATATAGATCTATGTCTGTTGGATATGTTTGAGCCGGATACCAGTGCATTAGGTAGTAGGATTAGCCCTTGCCCCTGGTTAAGGGTTTGGTGATGTTGTAGTATTGCAGCAGTGGAGGTCCGGTAGAGGAAAAAATTCCAAATGTTGTTTCAGCTGTTGGCAATGGTAACCGAGGCCAGTAGACCCTGGCTTTTGGTGCTTTCAGTTTTGTGTCTGATATCTGTGCTTCATCATGGCAATGTATGATTGGAATTGGTTTGAGTGTTGGATCCCTAATTATGATTAATTTAGTAGAGATAAAGAAGCACTAGAATCAGTATTGTTAGCCCTTGGTTAAGAGTTTGGTGATGTTGAACTATTGCGACAGTGGAGAGCGGTGGTGAAAAATTCAAAAACCTGTGTTGGCTGTTGGCTAATGCAACCAAGGCCAGTAAAGCCTGAAATTTTGTGCTTTATGTTGTGTTCGAGGACATTTTTGCTTCGTCATGCCAATGTACACTTGACAGTAATTGAGTGTCGAAGGGCGAACTATGAGAATATAGTAGTGATACAGAAGCACTAGAATCAATATTGTTAAGAGTTCACTGAGGTGCACTTAGTGCTGCAGTTAGGTGAAGTGTAGTCTCGGCCCTTCACTTTGCTTCAGACTTCTGCGACGCTTTAGTACTGGCACAAACGCATGTGACTCAGAGCTGATGAGCTCTTTCCTGAAATGATCGAGACAACACAGTAAATATAGTTGGAAGAGTGATATGTTGATTTTTAAAGGAACATTATAGATAAATATGTTAGCATCTAAGAATAGAGAAATAGAGATTTAGTATAAGAAAATTAGATACTAAAAATGAAAAAATATTGGAGATCAAATAATCTGTCTGGTTTTGCTTATACTTTTTGCTTCTATATTTGAAAAAGACATTCAAATTTTGGTGCTAACAGTCCTGGCTTTGAATGTGCTGATTCGGGGTTATCATTATATTTGCCCGTGCGTGATCCACATATTCAGAGTTGTGTTGAATATCTTCTCATAAAGTTTTAAGTTTTTAGATGCCGTTGACCTGATGAAGCATTTAGTTCACTGTCATTTCCGTTGCACCTAATTGACTGCAAGACAGGGTTAATTAAATTTCTCTTCAGAATGTCTCTTTATAAAGTTTTCACATATTCTTGTTTCCTGTCCTTCTGTGTGCTTTAATTCTTAGGGGTTTGTCACATCTTTTAGCAGATTGTTTGTGTTGCCTGGACGAAGCTCTCTTTCATTTTTGGATATAGTGGCATTTGCATCTTTTTGATTTGCTTTTTATGATTTTCATGTGTAGGTGAGTCAACTTGGCGCTGCAGCTCAGAAGTACCAGGCAGCCACCCAAAACGGATCATCTGCAGCGTCTGTTTCTGAGTTGCAGAATAACTGCAATATGTGAGTCCTAGATATTTATGGCACAGGTTTTATACGAAATGTTAGGGCTGACACTGTTGTGCCATATCTTTGTTTAATGGGGTCTAACTATTTCGATTTAGAACATATATCTCACTCTGTGTTGAAAAATTATTTTCTTTAAGTAGGTAATAAGGATGAGCTTTGTCTCCATTTAGGGACTGGCTTCTTTGTTGGTCTCTGCTGGTACTTTAATTTTACAGATCATTCTTAGCAGACTTAAATTGGGACTTTAATGTTAATGTTGTGATATTTGATCAGTCAGTCATCCTATTAGTGCTTTATCTTACTATGATGTGCACGTCTGATAACAGATATAGCTCAAATTTTAGTGTTATGGATTGCTATTGCTGGTCATGCTGCCAAGTCTTGGAAGCTCAATTGCTCCTGAAACTAAAAATTTGGAAGTCTAGTTGATATCCGCGATTTGTTAAATTTGGATGAACAGCTAAATTGCAGTTGTGTTTGATTGTTAAAATGTCTTTATTAACTGAAAACAGCATATCCTTTTTGGGTTCTGATAGCTCAATTTTCCATTCCTGATAAATGAAAGAGAATATTGGTCTTGAACTTTTTTGGAAAGCAAATATCCTCTTGAAAGTGGTGAATTAGCTATCCCGGTGTACCTGTGAATATAAGACATGTTCCTACAGCTTCAAAATGCAGATCTTACACGGAATATTGGTCTTGAACTATGGATTTGCATTTTGTCATGTCTCTACTTGGTTATGTTAAGATTCAAGGAGAAATGATATTATTTCTTGGTCGCCAGTCAGAATATGAGTTTATCTCCGTTTTCTATATTTTAAAGAACTTCACCAATCTATCGACAACTACAACTTTATCGCAAAGAAGGTTGATTCAACTTAAATTATTTTATTCATAAATAATTTTCTTTAACGCAAATTAGGATTTCTATAAACCTGGAGGTTGTTTACTCACAATTTTCTTGCATTAATATACCACTCTCTAACTGGTCTGAAAGGACTTCTGGCAAACATCATATCTAATGTAACAATAATCAATGTTGCTCGGACTCTCCAAAAATATACCCGGATGCGTGTCGGATACTCCAAAATTAGTTTATTTTAGAAGTATCCGACACGGGTGCGGCAAGATTTTGGAGAGTCCGCTCAACATAGACAATAATAACTAAGCATTAATCTTGACTAGTTGGTGTCGCCTATTTGGATCATTTGCTTTCATTATGTTCTCTCATAGTTAAGTCCGAACTGATTCGTGAAATTGTAAGCTTTTAACGACAACTTCTCTCCATATGATTTTAGCCTTATACCCTTTTAGCACCTTCAATCATAATCAGGAACAATGTATATATAGGGTTAAAGTTATGTCTATAGATTCTCTTATTCTAGATTTTTCTTATGCTTGTGTATTTGCTAAGGATCGTTTATCTCTTTATTTAGCTGTTAATTTAAATAATATCACTTTTGAGATTTTGACTTGTGATTTTGATTCAGGTTTGTTGCCTCAGCTCGTCAGTTGGCAAAAGCTTTGGAAGTTCCGTTGGTAAATGATTTAGGGTATACAAAGAGATATGTGCGATGCCTTCAGGTATACACCTCGTTCTGATGCTGTAAGGTTTTTATTTTGGTTCTTTTCTGGATTTGTTTGGAGATTTTCTGCTTGTTTCGATGGTGATATCACTACAAATTGTTGAAATATTTGCTTCTGTTAGAGTGTTTAATTTCCCAACCAGGTTTTATTTGCCTGTTCTGTGTGTTCCGACTCAACCAGTTCTACCCAACTTTCTTATCCTCCCTGTGCCCTCTCTCTCTCTCTCTCTCTTTTTAATCTGCCATCTTCCCATGTAATTCAAAGCACAGCTGAAAATGAAGGCCAAAATTCAGATNGGAGTACCACATGAATGTGGGGTTGATACAGTTCTGTAAACCTTACAATTGTGCTTGAAATTTGGCCTTTCCAGAGAGCTTGGCTAAGTTTCCTCGTAGGAATGGTTCATCGGCTGGGGTACGTGGTGCAGCTCAACCATCTGAGGAGCAGTCTCAGCAGCAGCAGCAGCCACAGTCTCAGCAGCAGCAGCAGCAGCAGCAGCAACAGCAACAACATACGGCCAGTCAGAACTCAAACCACGAGAGCTCTGTCCAGGCTGGTGCAATGCAACTTGCTTCCAGCAATGGTATTCTGAGCGAAAACAACCCTTTAAACCCTGCACCTGTTACTTCGACTAGTAGTACTGGTGCTCGGCTATTGCGCCAAAATTCCATGAACTCTAGGCAACAGGCAACAATGAATGGTGTGAACAGCCCTTATGCAGGAAATGCTGTTCAAATGCCTTCACCAAGTTCTTCAAATACAATGTTACAGTCTCAACAAAATCTGTCTGCACTCCAATCACCAACACCGTGTTCATCAAGCAATCCGCCACAAACTTCACATGGTGGCTTAACATCAGGATCACACGTGAATTCTGCCAATTCCCCGAATATTTCAATGCATCAAGCCACTCTTTCAGGTGATATTGATGCTAACGACTCTCAGAGTTCTGTACAAAAGATCATACACGAAATGATGATGTCTTCCCAACTTGGTGGAGGTGGCCTTGTAGGTGGTGGTGCCACGGGGAATGATATGAAAAGTGTAAATGGTTTGATAACAACTGCTAATAACTCCATTCTTAATGGAAGCAGCTGCCTTGTTGGGAATGGGACAGCAAATGCTAATATTGGTATGTCTCCAGGATATGGCAACAGGGGCAACGGACTGAGCCAGGCTGCAATGGCCAATGGAATTCGGGCTGCATTAGGTAATAGTTCTGTGGCTATGAATGAAAGGGTTGGCATGCCAATGTCAAGAGAGCAAAGTGTGAGTCAACAGCAACAAGATTTGGGAAACCAACTACTTGGTGGTTTAGGAGCAGTCAATGGTTTCAGTAACCTTCAGTTTGACTGGAAAACATCCCCCTAAAGGTTTTGACTTGGCTTTAGCCTAGAAGGTAAGAACAAAGTGACAAGATCCTTTAGGAGATAGGGGTGCTCTCTTGTGGTTGTAATTGCATATTTGGTTCTCATGTGCTGCTTTGTGCTGCAAAGGTGACATGATTTTGCCTTGCACACTGATAGTAGGTATGAATCCTGAAGAGCAATCATTTCAGGGCTTGCCTATGTTGTAGTGATTTGCCCGAGAAGAAAAACATGTAGCACAGTAATTTCATGATTGAAATGTTACATCACCTGAGGTAGCATAAGATTCTTCTAACTTGATTTTGTCTGGTTTATCACAGCTATACATACTTGCACTAACAGCCTTGAATAGGACATTCCAGGAGTGACTTGGCACACACTTGTACCTTTTCGAGGCATTTGTAAACTACCGAATCTGCTGAGCTCTTGCCCATCTTGTGCTGTATCTCTGCCACCACTCCGGAACATGAGTGTATATAGTCTGGATTGTGTGGAAGGTATTTTATATTAGAACTTCAGGAGCTGGTAGAAATTGACTTACCACTTGTTCCATGGTAATGTGTCTAATGCAATCACTTCATTTCTCCTCTCTCCAGACACCTACTATGTTTTTGTATCAATTATGCAGTTTTGATTGTTGTGGTTGCTGGCTTTTGGAGTGGCTGGATGCTAAAGATGAGGATTTACCTTTCTGAGGAGGGGATATTGGTATCAGTGCTTTAATTTCTGT